GAGAGAGAGAGAGAGAGAGAGAGAGAGAGAGAGAGAGAGAGAACCTCCATGGTGAAAATTTATAGTGTGCCCTAGTGGAACAATTTAAACACGTGTAAAAACAACTTAGGTCTATTCAGACAGAAAGAAACAAAGAACAGCACATAAAAGTTCTTCTTGTGCGTTGGTAAGATTGCTCTTGCTGCCAAGTATTGCCTGAGTTTGATCCTCAGGACTCACATGATAGGAGGAGAAAACTGACTTCCACAGTTATCGTCTAACCTTTACACACATATCATTACACATGTATGTGTACATACAGTAAAAATAAATGAATGTAATTGAAAATTAAAAGTTTAATTGCAATTAACTATGCTAGTGTGTATTTTATAAAGTGTCGAACAAAGTCATTTAATTCTAGAACTATTAGAGGAGCCTAATTTCTTTGGCTTTTCCTTCAGACTAAGTTATTTATGTAAGAAACAGGGTCTAGCTACAGTGATGCACCCATCATTGAACCAAATTGGGAACATTAGTTTAATAATACAAGTGAAAAGGCAAAATATGAAAGGCAGCCTAAGTTTAAGGACAGTTGTTGTTCTATAATATAGTGACAAAATGTTCATTTCTACATTTTTACAGTAAATAAGCAATTCATTATTTTTTTACCTTATTTCCAACTTTACTTTTGTTATGACCGTGATTTATGACAATAGTTCTGAAAATTGCCATTGTACCAGTTTATAAGCAGCTTCAAAAAATCTTAGAGGTTTATGATAAACCATATGATTCAGAAAGAATAGAAAGAAGCAATAGAGAAAAAAGCAACAGAGATCTTGTCAAGAAGAAAAAAACAGAATTCATGTTTAAAATATTTTAGAGTTATGCATCCATATTTTTGGTCAGAAAAGGTGAATATATAGAATGAACAGGTTATGAAATGTCTCCCTGAGCTAAAAATTTCTTTGAGCCCTGTGATATAAGACAATGGAGATACTTCTAAAAGCTGATGCATGAATAAGAGATGTCAACAGAAAACGGATGTATTAGATTGAACCTTATGAAATTGTTGGCACTGTCTAAAAAGAAGTGCGGTTTCACAGAGCTTGTCTTGTCCACCTGTACATCTGCTGGAGCATCACAGTGAGCTCAGTAAACATGCATGTCCTTGGAAAGAGTCTCCCATGTGCTAATGTCTACAAGTATGGCCATGAGCAAGCCATGATGTCTTTTCTAGGTAGTCCACAGGCTAATGGGTCACAGGGGGCTTGCTTAACCAGAGCACTCCTTCCTGCCAGTGATATCACAAGATGAACAGAGAAAGAGTCCTTAAGTATCTAGTGGATGCCAGGAGCCAACTTTCTGTGATATGTGACCATGGTTGGTCATCTGAAAATTCATCAACGTGCACAGTGATCTGCCTAGTCTAAACACATGGCACAGAACAATTTTTCCAATTGCCTCCTTTCCTCAACTTTCTGAAATTATATTTTAAGTTTGTTTTTTATTTTTATTTTGTGGAGCAGGGCTCAAAATGATTAGAGTCAATGAACACTAGGAGGAAATTTTGTTTATCAATTCATTCTAAGTCTAATTCTTCTACAAGACTTTTTGGCTCATAGAACATTTATGTCACATGAAATATACTCTGCCATAATCCTTATTCATTGTCCCACAAAGAAATGCTGCATAAATATAAGAAACACAAAATAGAAAAAACAGAATAGGACTAGAAATTAAGAATATGATTCTTAAGAATTGGTTTTTATCCATAATTAGACTGTACCAAAACTTTTATCAATTTGGTAAGGCCTTTGTATTGCATGATAATGCAATTTCTAATTTTTTTTTAGCCAGAAGGATTTCAAAGAGCTTGTGGCCACCCTGGACTACCAGTGTGAACACACACACACACACACACACACACACACACACACACACAAGCAAATCAAAAGAGGGCTGGCACACTAGTTCAGTGTGTAAGAGCACTCACTGTCAACCCCGACAATCTAAGTTGCATCCTTGGGACACACATGGTGAAAGGAGAGAAGGTTATACTCTGACCTCCACATGTGTGCTATGACACATGTGACCTGTACACCCAAAATAAGTCAAAATGTTGTTAAAATAATAAATAAAAATAATTGAGTTTCTAATTTTTCATATAATGTGAGATTTGGAAAATACCTTTGGATTCACTACTTTTTATTATTTTCCTTCCTGTCTTTCCTCCATATCTTCTGTTTATCTGCTACACTTTACAGAAAATGACAACTTATAATAAGCTGAAAGTACAGATCAAGTCAGATGATGCTTATGAACACTTGTTAGAAATTGTGAAGCTAGGGACTGGAAGATGACTCAGTAGTCAAGAGCACTGGCTGTTTTTCCAGGGAACCTGAGTTTGAGTCCCAACACCTACAGGGTAGTTCACAACCATCTGTAAGTCCAGTTCCAGGGGGTCTGATACTCTCTTCTGACCTCTGAGGGTACTAGGAATACATGTGGTACACAGATACGTATGCAGGCAAAACACCTGTATACATAAAATAAAGTAAAAGTACTTCAAAAGTGTGAAGTATGAGTTAAAGATGTAGCTCAGTGGTTGTCTAGCATACAAGAGTGCTTGCCTAGCATACAAGAGGCCCTGACTTTAATTATTAACGCCACAAAAAATGAATGATGAATCTTTGTAAGGGTAAGCCATAATCCACAGTAGTTCCCTTTAACGGCAGAGGTTGTTCCCAAGTAGATCCTTGGCTAATGTCCACAACTTTGAGAATAAGAGGATTTTTCCCCTTACTTTTCAGCCTCATCAGCTGTTTACTTAGTGTCAGGCAGTAACCTCATTAGAAGATCCAGGAGCTGCCAAAACAGCAATTGTTGAGTTTGGCAACAGTCAGCTTGAGGTGTGCCCAGCTCTTCTGTCCCAAGAAAA